TCTGGCTTCAGCATCTGCACTTGAGTTTGTCTGAATTCTAGTTCTAGTCAAAAGATACTTCCATTACCCATTAGACTGAATAAACCAGTAAGCCCTGGGCTTGCTGTTTTTTTTTTTTTTTGTTGTTGTTGTTATTATTGTTATTTAATATAGTCATAGGAAAGATACAAAGAAAGGAGGAAAATAGTTCTCTTGATAGGGTTCAATTTGTTTCATTGTGTATATCAGAATATATGTGAACTTATTTTAATGCAATGATGCACACACACAGAGCATGTATTCTTTTTAAAATTTAGTTAGAACTAAAAAAAATATGTATCACCTAGAATTTCAAACTATTTGTAAGGGTTGTTATAGTTTGTAATGCTATTTTAATACTTATAAAATTTTGTAATTTTATCAGAGTCCTTGTTTATACATATTATATGCATTCATTACAAATAACTCCCGTACTAGTTAATATTCTATTTTTAGCTTGCTATTCTACCAGCCAAGAACATTTATCCAAAGCCCATAGATAAAGTAGAAATGCTAAGATGTTTGAAATATGGTTTCTGTTTTTACTAAGTCCTCATTTAAGCTGAGAAAATACACTTACAAAGATGAGGCCTTCAATAATGGTTATTCAGGGCAAGGAAATAGTATAGGGAAGAGAGTGAATAAGTTACTCTGGGATGTGTGGGATTAGTAGGAGTCACTGAAAACTTTCATAAAAGGGATCATAATCACCATGAGGTTACTTATTTTTCAAAGTAACATGACTATGTATACAAAATATTAACTGTATATGAATCAACCTCTGGATTATGATTGATATCATCATACCTATGGAAAAATCAATAGATTTTATTATTGTACTTGGTTACTGCAAGTTTCCCAAGAATCAGGATGTGATTTGTTTTGGTTTTCATTTTTTTTTTTTTTTTTTCAGGGATGGGGTACCAGGGATTGAACCCAGAGGCAATTTATTACTGAGCCACATCCTCAGCCCATTTTTAAATTTTTATTTTATGTTTTTATTTAGAGACAGGATCTTGCTAAATTGCTTACAGAGTTAGCAAAGGACTTTATGAAATGACCCAGGACATTATTTTTATCTTGCACGTTCACTGCACCAAGACTGATCCTGTACATAAAACCTCTTGAGTGACTATCCCACAACTTTGCTACATAACCTGCTGAGTTACATTCTACAGCTAAATAAATGTTATGAATTCTTATTTAATTTCACAGATTTAAAGAAGTTCACTATTTTTAGTTAGGATATTGGCTATAATTGTATTGTTATATTATATCATTTCCTATAGTAAATACTTGTGAGGAAACAAATTACTCAAGAATAGGTTAAATAAATTACAATTGCAGGCCAAAAAATGATTAAAAAGTGATATTAGCATGGAAATATGTACATGACATATTATTAAATGGAGAAACCTGATTATTAAATATGTAATTTGATCTTATTTTTATCTCAAAGATGAAAGGTATTTGTATGTTTGAATATATGGATGTATATTCATTGTTTGTTTTTGCTTTAGATAGTTTACACACACACACACACACACACACACACACACACGGATACATGTAGCACAGAAGAGACAGAAGGAGAACAAGACAGAGGGAGAAACAGAAATAGAGAAATAGTAATAGATACACTCTCTTCTTTCATTTTCATATTAATTCGGAAAATACACTAGAAAATAAGAACTAGAAGAGCAAAAGAAGTTAGTTAAGAATAATTATTTGGGGGAGATAGGAGCAAGGGTGACTTCGATTATTTGCATTTTCTAATTATTTAGTAATTATGTTATCTTTGTAATTTGTGTAGTTTAAACCTCTTTTATATCTAAATTTTAAGTTAGAACAGTTTAATATACAAATTTTCAGTCATTTCTAATGAAGGGTATATTAACACAATATATTTTTATCTTTAGCCCACAAATAAAACTCACAGTACACTTCCTAACATTGGAAATGAAATTTTGGTACACAGCGAATAAATATCACTCAACAAAATAATTTCTGAATGACTGACTTTAATAAATTATTACATGAAAATGTTCCACCAAAAAGCATACATTAAACATCTCCCCCAATAATCCCTAAAAACATCCTAAATTCAACACCAAGAATTTTGTCTATTGAAATCAACATTATACAGTTACACATAACATACATATTCCAAAATAACAGGAATATAGGGCATTTTAAAATAAAAAAAACTTAAAAGCCTTCCAATTAAGCATTTAGACATCATTTTAATATTCTATCAGTTTAGCTAGGATTAAAAAAAATGATAATTGTTTTGTGTAAAATGGAAGCATGTGGGTTTAAATGTCTTTTAATATAACACTACTAAAATCAAAGTAAGGGTTAAATTAGGGATATATATTTCCTGTACTAGTTTATTTTGGGCAGTGATTTTAAATAACATACACTTTCTCTTATTTTATGAAATCCCTTTTCTCTAGTATTTTAGCCCATGACTCAGGATTTAAGAAACTTTATTATTTTTACACATTTTCAATAACAGTGTCAGTACCTAAATAGCTTATTTGAAGGATGGTTCTACAGAAGGCATATACAATTTATAGACACCTAATTACCATTATGTACAACTTGGGCAATAGTGAAAAATATTGGTTTTATTTCAAGTTAAAACAATAAATGGACTCACATTTTCAAAGTGTGTGATGTAAATATAAATTACTGATAAATCATTATTCTATGAATAGCTCATTATCTTTCATTAAGAAACTTTTAAGCTCTTTCTGATCTAAAATTGCATTATTATTTATGTTACCATTTTCTTGGTCATTATGAAACTTAAATTCAATGTAAAGGTTTATTTAATATATTTAAACTTATTCACAAATGATTTCTGAGAACTTATTACTTTCAATAATATAACAATATTCATAAAATATATATAAAATAATAATGTTCAAAAATTTCCTATTTTTTTTAAAATCAACATTCTTCAAGTGATCAATTTATTTATTTACTTACTTTGGGGGTTCTGGGGATTGAACCCAGGGACACTTACCCAATGAGTTACATCCCAGCCCTTTTTATGTTTTATTTAGAGACAGGGTCTCACTAAGTTGCTTAGGGCCTTGCTAAGTTACTGAGACTGGCTTTGAATTCCCTGGCTTTCAACTCCTGTCTCAGCCTTCAGAGTGGCTGGGATTATAGGCATGGGCCAATTCACCGGGCTGATCAATGCAATGACATAGGCTGATCATTTAATATGAAATCATATGAAATCCTGTAGAATCTTTGTGTCTTTAATTTCAATTAAATATTCCTTTATATATTAATGAAAACTTAATAAGTAAATATTTATAAGATTTAATATTTTCTAAGGAAATATGGAAAGAATTATACCATTAAATAAAGTTATATTCAAGGGAATATTATCAGGGTTGATTGTTCCCTTTAGATCTTAGAAAGTAAATAATAGTTTAGTACTACATTTTTACTTAATTCTCCAAACTCAGCATTATTTCTGCTATGCAAGAGGTGATTTCATTCATCTAGTTGATTTCAGTACTAGTTGCTGTAAACAGAAAATAACATATTGTTATAGTAAAACAAAACTCTCTAGACATATTTGAGGGAAATGATTTGCTGGGAATATACAAACATCTCAATTTCTCATTTCATCCTACCTCAGATGTTATTTCCCTAGATGTTGCAAATCTTTTTAGCTCTGAATGTCTAGTTCAATACCAGAAACACTTAACAATCTATCCTGGTAGGAATTAAGTTTGGTACTAAGGGGGGCACATGGCTGAATGAGAAGTCCTAAATCCCATGCTGATAATACATACTACTGGTTATTACTTCAATTTCATGAAGTATTCTAGTTCTAGTAGTATAAAAAGTCTTCTAGTTTATCTATGAAATTGTTTACTTACATATGATCCTTCAAAGTGATCCTTGACATCTCATCCTGTATAAATGCTACAACAAGTTTAGTGCTCAGTGTATGAAACCCCCTGCAATTCCTTTTGAAATCTCAAAGTCTGCATTACCTAACCTGCTGAGTTTTCTAACACTCTAAATATTAGACAAAAAAGGTTTAAGTAACTCCTTAAATCTTATGAATTCCTACTTCATCTTATAGATTTAATTATGTCCATCATCTTAATAGCTAGCAGTTCTTTCTTCTGGGAAAGACAATCTCTGGATAACAATCCAAGATTTTAAGCTCTGAAAATTAAAAATGTGTTGATGAATATGGAGGTTTTGATAGATCCTACAATTTCTGAGGTAACATGGGCATGTGAAAAACAGTACGAGGGCTCTGCAGCCCATAAGTACATCTGCATACTCAGATACTTAATCAGTGTGGTCTGGACTCAAGTCTTATGTAAGATGTATGGCAAGTTATTGGTTTTTCAAAGTCTTAGCATTTTTATCTGCAAAAATGAAGCTAATAATATCTACCCTGAATAAGTGTTGTGAAGATGAGATATAACATTTGTAAAGATCCAGCAGAGATGATATAAGTTCTCTATAAATAGTAACTATTTATTTTCATTCATTGTCTCTGCACTGAATTATTGATTAAAGCAGCATTTCAACTCTGAGACCAGGTCAAGTATGAGACTAGTTAATACAAGGATGTGCAGAGAACAAAGAAATGAATAAAAGTTCTTTGGATATTTTTTACAAAGTTACTTTCTCATTTAGCTGTTTTCTAAATACAGACTTTATATCTGGATTAGTGAAAAGGACAAGTGTCACCTTCATAACTTTTATGGCTTTATTGTAGAAAATTATATGATAATGACTTTGAACTCCTGTGGAATTTCCATAACTAATGTGTAAGTATATCACTACCATGAAATTGCTGTCTTTTGGTATCTGTGAACTAGTAAATAAAGTGAGATAGAATTTAGAGAGAAAGCTTTCATTATAAAGTGCCTATGATTGTCATTTAAGCCTGGAGTAAAGTACGCACATATTAAATAGTAGGTAAAATTCTTAAATAAATAAAATGCCTCACCGATTACAGTTTTATTGAACTATGGCCTCAATTGACCAAAATTCTAACTTGCACAGTGTACAGGCAACTGCTTTTAACTAAACATCAGTTTTAGAAGAAATAATATATGCACACTCCCCACCATACATTCATTAAAAAACCTGAATCCAAATGCATGATCATCGACGAATCCAATTATTTCTATGATTAGAGTACCTAGATGGTTTCCTTGTTTTTATTGGGCTTAACATATTTAAATTGCGTGCAGAGGTTAATGAAAGTGATCAAGGAGCATTCCACTTTCAGAATTATCAGGACATATAAAGCTTTATGCATTTTCATAGTAAGAGCAACCTGATTATTAGCTTTTCATTTGAGGCAGTTTATCTACAGTTCAAAAATGCTTTTACTGATTAAAGTCCAAAGTATCTTTTTCATTTTAACAGAAAGGCCTGCCATTTAATTAAAATAGATTTTTCCAACTATAAGTAATTGAATGAATGTTCTAAACCCATGACTAAAATTGGCAAGTTGGTAAATAAGAACAAGGATTGTCAAAAGACTTTCGAGAACACAGTTCTACTGGGAGGGCTCCATGGAGGAAGTGCCTCGTGGTCAAGAAATGAATGGCGTTTCTTTTGCTTTCGTTCAATTCTTTCCTGTCTTTCTTTCTTTTCCTAAAGAGAAAAACAGAAAACTATGTATTCAGACACATATGTGAACATTATTTTAAATCAGGCTGCTTGCTGAAGAACAAAATAATCCATTTTAAGATTCTTCTATATTATTTCCTGGCTTAACTGGTTATAAAGAAACAGAAGCTAGGGAATATTGCTACTGTATCTGTATACTATCAAAAGGTGTTTATGTCACTCCATCTTTGTAAATATTAAACATGATGATATTAAAATTTCTGCAAAATAGGAAAAACACACCTATAATTCAATTGCTGAAAAACAGTAATTGTTAGAAGTTGGTGATTACTTTCTGAGAACAGATGCTCAGAAGTAAATTTACTGGATGCAAAACTTGCATGTGCCAGCATAGCAAGAGATCCTCCATATTTTTTACCAATAAATGAAAGTTCAACTTTCATATTTGTTTATCATTGAACTTAAGTATATATTCAAACATTTCTTTAGTGGTTGAGTGAATTTTCTGTCTGATTATTTGGCCCATCTAACTGTATGGGCACTGGGGCCTTTCATTTTTAGTACTTTGTGTATTTTCAAATAAATATTATCTTTACATCAAATATTTTATCAATATTTTTGCAGGCCATGTCAGTGTCACCTTTGTTAGCCCTTAACTTAACAAAAAAAAGGGCATCAATAAATATTGCAACCACAGAAAATAATTTAAAGGGTAATGTCTTCAAAACTCAAACACAATTAAAGAAAAGGAAATATGACCAATATTTCTGAAATTCTCTGAATCTCGCCCCCATCATATCTTTCTCTCCCCCTTATTCCACTGAATTCATCATTATTCTGAATTTGATGCTGAATATATCACATTCTAACATATGCCAGGTTGTGAGGTGACATATGGGTCTATTATTCTATTGGCACAATGCTGCCTCAATTTCTGTTTATTCAATCAATTGTAAACATGGATAGCTCTCACTGTGGGTCAAGTATAAAGTGATTATAAAATCCAAACACACAGATATGGATCCCGATAAGCTTCAAAATGTACAGATAATGAACAAGTAAATACACAACACATAATTCCAAATTGTAAGAATTTCTATGAAATATAAAAATAAGTATTATGATAAAGAATAAAAGAGAGCACTTACTTTGAAAAGAAAGGGGATTTAGGGAAAGTCACTTTAAAGTGAGACCAAACTTGGTTAGATAAAGGAGAGGGGAGCCAAAGAAAATAAAAAAGGGAGATGAACAACAACATCCTATGGAGCTTTTCAGGCCATGTCAGTGTTTTGAACTTAGGTTAAAAAAAAAAAAAAATGCAACAAGTGACCTGGAGAGGGAAGGCTGGAGCTGGAGGTAGGAGAAAGAAGAGGAAACAGCCCTGCAGCAGGCTGAGAGTTTTGGAAAATGGGGACAGGAAAGCAAACGTTAGATTGGCTAGAAGCACTGGAAAACCTGTGACGTTCCAAGCATGATCTTGGTTTAGTGATGGAGACAGAGACAAGACTGGAATGGATGAGGCTGAAAAGGGTTAGTAGCATTGTGGAAGTGGTACAAAACTTTCTAACAGTTTAGATATGAAGAGAAGCAGAAAATGGAGGACGAGAGCTGGGCTGAAATGCCAAGCTGAGAGCTGATTTTTTATTTAAGATTACATATCCTGCCACATAATGGGAATATTTCAGAGGGTAGAAAGAATGTTGCTTCGCAAAGGAGTGGAAGGGTAAGTTTGTATTTTATTGCTTGACTGAGGAAGAGTTCAGTTTCATATTATTTTGGAAATGTAATCTTTCACATTTTTACCTTTTTATTATACCAGATGAATTATAGAACCATGTTATTTCACTGCACATACTATCTTCAATGAAATAGCTGAGTTTCTGGGGATTAGTATGAAAACTGAATATTTACCTCCCTATATCTAATGTTAATAACCTTGGTCTTTTCACTCATTATCTCTCCACTTCTTTACTTCTCTGCTAACACTACAAAGTTTGGTGGTTTCCTCCTACTGATGATTTCCTCGTATTCCTCAAAGAGAAGCAAGATCAGAGAAACCCTTGGAAAACCCTGCCTCTGCAGATCGATAGCTTGGGAAGAGAGACATTGTGATAAGTTATCAATGCATCTTTCATCAGTACATACATGGGTATATAAATGTCTCAAGAACAATTTGGTGATGCAAAATCCATGCACATACTATTATTCACACATAGCAAAAAGATATGAAGAGAGGTATGAATGAGGTAGTCCTTTTCAGTCTTTAACATCCATGTCTTGGCATCGTGTCATAGAATGTTTGCATGCTTGCTAAATCTATTAAAGCAAAGAGGAAACTTCCTTTCAGAATCTTGAGAAAGGAAAAGATGGAGTCCGAACATCCTTAGCCATTTTAGAGAGAGGTAGATCATCCTCCTAGGTGGGGGTAAAGCAGTGACCAGTCTGTGTTCACAGAAATGACTGAATGAGCCCTTTTTTTGGGGGTGTGTGTGTCCATTCCATTTAACAATGAAATGGTGGGGAGAAAAACTTGAGAAAAGTTTGATCTTAATTAGTAGGGTGCTGAAAAGCTGAGACAGGATATAGGCAATTATTTTTTTTTAATATCAATGAATAGGATGAAAATGAGCAAGTGACTAAATACTACAGTCAAACATCAAAAATAGTGTTGACTAATCATCACTTAATCATTGTCCATTTTCTAGGAAATACAGAGATAAAACTAAAAACCGAAACTTTTACATTTACTTACTGTGCTACTAGCAGTTAGCATACATCTTCTTAATATAAAAAGACTTTTAAACATCTTGGAGAAAAATGCACAAGAATTTAACCTAAGGAAGCCATCATGAAACACTGCCTTCCTCATTCAGATATCAAATCAATTTCAATCACTTTATTATTACTTCTCTGCATGGAATTATCATAAAGTAGAACAAAAGTCAACACATAATGATAAATTCTGTTGGCTCCTTAAAAATGGGATCACATTGTATTACTTCGGGGAGAGCCGATAACTTTATAACAACATGACAAGGTTAAGTGTTTCTATCTGAGTGCAGTTTTGTTCCATTCTCTTAAGTCTTCATTTGGGTACTTACAGGAGAGTACTAAAGTTTTCTTGCATATTTCTTAAGTTTATTCCTAAGTGTCTTTTATCCTATCATCAAAACCTAACTTTGATCCATGTCTCTGTAACTACTGTTGATTTTAAAAGTTTACATGAAAAAATAAACAAGAATAGTCAGAAATACTGTGAGAGAAGAACCAAATATTTGAGCTTATTCCAGACAAATATTTAGACATATGAAGCTTATTAGTAAGATACATATATATATGGAACAGAAAATCAAGAAACAGACCCCTAAATATGGGAATTGATCATATAATAGATAGCAACTCTAATCAGTGGCAAAAATTGGGGTACTCTGTAAAAGATTAGTTGGAATAAATAAAGTTGGGATCATATTTCCCATCATACATCAGAATAAAGTCTAGGTAGAACAAATGTTAGGACATTAAGATATTAAAGTCATCAGATGAAAATATGGGAGAATTTTGATTAACCTCAAATTACGGAAAACATCTTTTCAACTATGCTTAAAATACAGAAGTCAAAGGAAAAAAAAATGATAAATCTGAGACCTAAATATAAACTTAAATTCTTTGTGGCTTAAAAATACTATAAAGTTGGGAAGCCAACAATAGAGTGGGAAAAATATTTGCGTCTTATATCAGAAATGATTAGATAATTTCCCTAATACATATAAAAGCTTCTACAAATCAATAAGAAAAAGACCAAAAATCCAACAGAAATATGACTGTCCATGAAGTGATGGTTTACAGAAGAAAAATATAAAAGTGACCCTTCTATAAATGAAAACATGTTCAAGTTTAATTAGAGAAATACAAATAAAAAAGACCCATGGTGACATTTCTCAACTAGCAGATGAGAATTTGAAAAGAGTATAATAGCCAGGTATGGTGGCACACCCTTGTAATCCCAGTGGCTTGGGAAGCTGAGGAAGGAGGATTCCAGAGTTCAAAGCCAGCCTCAGCTACTTAATAAGGCCCAGTCTCTACATAAAATACAAAAAAAGGGCTGTTGGATGTGGCTCAGTGGTCAAATGCCCCTGGACTCACTCCCTAGTACACCCCCTGCACCCCAGTAGCAAAAACCCCTAAACAAACAAAAAGAGTATCATTGAAATTCTACTAGATAGAATGTGGAGAATTTTAAATTTTTTACTGACAAATCAGGTGAATGTGTAACTGTTCATAAAAATGTGTTTCCTTCATTCAGTAAGTACTATCCATGGGAATACATTGTCTATTAAAATCATTATCTATTAAAATTGATTAATAAAATAATCTTTTGCATTTTAAAATAAAAAACTGTATTTAGTTTGATGTCAACAAAAAGCAACTTTCATAACAGAAAGTAAGTTGAAACCAACTATATTAAAATCCAGCTAGATCCTATTCCTTCTAAACCTCAAACTTACTGTCTTTCATTTAAAAACAAATAAGACTTTCTTCTTGACATTATCAGAAATAAAAATAAATAAACAAAAAGAATAAAAAATGGAATAACTTCCTCACCCATTAGTGTTATTATGTGTCATAATCAATTTTCACCTAAAATAACCTGAAAGTACTTGGTATGTTAGATGCACTTAGTATATTGGTATCAGATGCAATAACTACAGCAAGGAAGAATGGGGGTGACTGGTAAAAGGCTGAATGTGGGAATGCAGTGATGGAGGAAAGTGTAACTGGAGTTTCAGCCTGGGAGCTTGAGGGAGCAGTCAAAGCATTAACAGAAATGATAAATAGAAGAAGATATGATATGTACAGAAGGAGAGAATGGAGTCAACAAGGCAGTTCCAGGAGAAACAGTCAATAGGTATGGGGTACAGGGATTTAGGAAGAGAAAAGGCACAAAAGGGCATTTAAAAAACACCAGTGGTTTAGCAAATACCTACCAGCCATTTTTCATATTCATTGATAGCTTGTTTATCTTTATCTTTTTTCTCAGCTCTTTTCAGTTCTTCCTTCCTTTTCTCATTTATTTTCTCTTTTTCCTTTTGCTTGAAAAAAGCTTCCTTTTTTTCATTCCTATGTAGGATGATATAAGACACTGGAAGTTAAAGGAGAATAGATAATAAAGATTCCCTAAAACAGCCCTGGCAAAGAATGAGATTGAGAGGCATTAGTACATACCAAGAGCTCCGGTTTAGATGGATGGTGTCCCCCAAAAGCTCAGGTGTGAGATAATGCAAACAAGTTTAGAGGTGAAAAATTGGGTTGGGGAGCCTTAATTTAATCAGAGAATTAACCTGTGTGACAGGGATTAACTGTTAGTAACTGTAGGCAGATAGGGTGTGGCTAGAGGAGGTGGGTCATTGTGGGTGTGCCTCTGGGGTTTTCTATTTTGTCCCTGGTGAGGAGAGCTCTTTTTTTCTCGGTGTTTCTTGGTGGCCACTTCCTGCTTCTTCTACCACACTCTTCTCCCATGGTGTTCTGCCTCACCTTGGGCTTCAAAGAAGGGAGTCGGACATCTATGGACTAAGACCCTGAAACCATGAGACCCAAAATAAACTTTTCCTCCATTAATTGTTCTTGTCAGGTCTTTTTAGTCATTGAAGCAAAAAAAGCTCACTAAAATATCAAGTAAATAAATTTTAGAAAAGCCTCAACTGTTATTAAATCTATCAGAAGATTTTTTTTTTTTATTTTGGATTACCATTTTTCAACAGCAGTTAAATTATCTTTCTTTTTCTCGGCAACAGTTTCCTCTTCTTTCTGTTTCTTTGCTCTTTCATATTCTTTCTCCTTTTTAGTTTTCTCTTTAAGATATTCCATTTTTTTCTCTTTCCATTTTTCAAAAGCCTGAAAAAAGATCAGAATGAATTTCTTACTGTGAATATTATAAAATAAGCAAAAATATGGTGAAGCGTTGATTTTGATTTCATATGTTTAAAAATAACTAAGTAAGGTGTTTAAAGCTTGTGAATACCTGTAGGGCTTCTCCTTTCCTCACAGCATTTTCTTCCTCAGTTTTCTTCTTGTTTTTCTCCTCAAGCCTCTTTTTGGCAGCTATTTTCTTGGCCTCCTTTTCTTTCATGGCCTTCCAGGCCTCAAATGATGCTAATGCTTCTTCTCTCTTGGCAGCTTTTTTCTATTTTGGAAAAAATAATAGGAATACAGGTAATGTAGGAGTAGACACACAAATTTTAAAGTATATTTATATACAAATATATGTATATTTCACTTTAATTCCCAGAATCATCACATAAAGATATTAAGTTCCAAAGCAGATAATTTATTTAGAATGGTTTAGACAATTTATTTCAAAAAATATCCAAGCCAGGAGTGGTGGCACACACCTATAATCCCAGTTAACCTGGGAGGTTGAGGTGAGAGAACTGAAGATATAAGACCAGCCTCAGCAACTTAATGAGACCCTGTCTCAAAATAAAAAAAAATAAAAATAAAAAAAAAAAGGACTGAAAACATCCTTTTTCTAAAAACATTTCTCAGATACTGACTTAATATTAGTCAGAAGCAGGAAAATTATTATTTCTGGAAATGCACAAAATAAATGCTATCAAAATAAACTCTAATAGGTTAAGGGGTATTATAAAAATTATATTTTTTCAGTCAAAAAATTCTGGAAAATTATAGGCTTATACAATAAGGGTAAGGTAAATAGGCCAAGTCATATAGTAAGAACAGATTTTTGGTTTGAATGATATCAAGGCATAAAGTTGTTACCCCACTAACATATTCTAAATGTTGAAAATATGTCAGACTGGAAAATATGATGTGATGTACATCAAGGATATTATCACATAATATCCAATAATTGACTTAGAATATTATCATTAAATGACATAAAACCTTATCATGGAGGAAACTCAACTGAGAAGTAAAGTACTGTGCAGCTACAGTGTGAAGGGCTACAGCACTGCCCACAGCCGTGTAATGCTACCAGTGTGGGGACAGGTACACAGCATAGCGACAGAGGTCTGCTCATACAGACGGATTTGTCATAGTGCTGTTCAATTTGAAAACGTCTCTCTCAATCAGCTTTAGTACTGAGCAGACAATGAAGGGGTTTTTCAGAGTTTTTACTTTAGAAGACAGGAAAGAGCTGACCATTGTGGCCTATTAGGCAAGAGTGAGAGGAAGAGATTGAAAGTTCAGGAGGGACTGGAACAAGAGTCCAGTTTGGGTCCATGGGATGGAACGTGGGTCAAGAACTCAGGTATAGTCTTGAAGACACACCTAAAACTCAAGAGCGAAAAGAGGAAAACTAAAGATAGATGTCTGAAGACCCTTTGTATTCTTGGCTAACTGATGTCAATTTTTAAGAGTGAATTAGATGGTTACAAACAGAAGTTCAAAATTAGTTATGCCATATCTATCCTATGCATAATAAATAAAATAAAAATGTGTCTGTATTTAAAAAGTTCTATTTATGACCAACTAAAATTATATAAAGTACCAGAGAAATAAAATCAGAAATCAGGTCTTTTATATACAACTTATTTCAACATTTAAAAAACATTTGATTTAGAAATGTTAAACATTCACAGATACTTTACTGACATAACAGTCCAGAACATTTTCAACTTCTTTATTTCACAAATACCTGTTCATTTTGGATTCTTAAGTTTTCACTTTCAATCCTTTTTATTCTGTGCATTTCATGAAGATATACATTTTTCTTTTCCAACCACTCCTGTTAGAATAAAGAAAAGGTTCTATGCTATTCAAAGTATACCAAATGAATTAGAAATCTTAACTATATTCAAAATACTTGACAAAGCTTTAAAAAGCAAAACATAAAGTTCATAAATTTTAAACTGGTATCATTTTTCTTTTTCCTAATAAAACTTGAGGATATTCAAGAAAATTACTACTAATAATATTGTCTTCAAATATTTAATATAGTGGCCAAATATATCAAAATTTTTCCCCAAAATTACTTGTACCATTTCATAAAGTATACTCTTCTATATAACAAAAAAAAAGTGACTCTTACTGAAACTGAAAAAAATTGAGAAAATCTTTTTTCTGTGTAAATTAACAATGTTTCTGAAGAGAAAACTTTAGGAACTACTTTTGTTCATAAACAATATAAAATTTTAGGATGAGAAAGGATAAAACATATATCTTATAATATTTTGGCTTTTGTTATATTTCTATAAATTATTATGGTTTCTCCTCTTAGAATCATCTTAAAAAAAAAAAAAAGCACAGAAGCTAATAATTGAGTAAACTAGCTTTGGTTTGCTTAAGTATTTTAAAGGAAACTTTCCTCCGCCCCAAATTAAGTATCAAACCATACTTTTTTGGGGCTGGGAGTGCAGCTCAGTGGTAGAGGGCATGATAAGCATTTGTGAGGCCCTGCGTTCAACTTCAAGCACACAAAACAAATAAAAAATTATAAGACCGAAACAAGAACAACACCACCACCACCAAAGCATCAAAATTTCTGGTAAAGTCTTTTCATTCTTTGATATGGAAATTATTAATTCTTTTTACCTGATAAACAGCTGCCCTTATGTGATCTGCTTTGTCAGGTTCTAAACTCTGCTTTTGGTCCAAGACTTTCAAAGTCCCCAGATAGTGAGAAGAGGTAGTTGCTGATGGACTTCTCCTTATAGAACTGGATTTCTTTAAAAACTCAGAGGTCATTAATCTGAAAAATTTCAAATGAACCAAGATAAAGTATTTCAATTGCAATTGATAGAAGAGAGATCTATTAGAATACATGCATCTGTATTTTAAAACTATTGTAATTTATTTAATACGTTATAATTACTTTCATAATGATATAGCTAAAAAGTAGTTTCTTTCTTAGTGTACAAAGAGTGCTATTCAATCTAACTTAAACTTTATAACTTTAAGTGATATCAATTTAAGCTGTACTTTTTAGGTGTTTACAATTAAAACCTTTCAAAAAAATACGGGGTGGGGGTGCTGGGCATGTGGCTCAAGCAGTAGCGCGCTCGCCTGGCATGCACGGGTCGCTGGGTTCGATCCTCAGCACCACATAAAAATAAAATGCTGTGTCCACCGAAACTAAAAAATAAGTATTAAAAAAATTCTCTCTCTCTTTCTCACTCTCTCTCTTAAAAAACAAAAAACACAAACAAACAAACAAAAAACACGGGGGCTAGGGCTGTGGCTCAGTGGTAGAGCTCTTGCCTTGCCCTTGTGAGGCACTGGGTTGGATCCTCAGCACCACATAAAAATAAATAAATAAATTAAAGATATTGTGTCCATCTACAACTAAAAGATTTTAAAAAATGGGTCATATCTCAAGTTACACAGAGAAAATAATATTAACAAAGTGGGTTTTAAGCACTTTTTAACATTTTCTTATAATACTTTCTGTTACATAAACCATTCTAAATATAAAGTTAGAAAATATAGTACCCTCTGTCAGGGGTTAGGAGACAACCTGGGCAACCTGTGGCTTGATAGATAAAGCTGAATGCACCACAGATCTGTTCCTGCATTTATGTATGGGCAGGTCCTGCTTTCCTGCTACGGGGCAGAACTGAGCAGTTAACAACAGGGACTGAACTGCCTACAGTGTCTAAAAAAAGTACATACTAGCCATGTACCTAAGTTGGCTGGCCCTGCTCTACTTGACTAATTATAATCATAATCTGAATAAAAGATGCAGAAGGTTTTGATTAGCACAGAGAAGTTAGCAATAGTCATCAGCAGCAAGACATATGAACCTGTATCAATTCTTGTCACTGTAGTCCATAAAACCCAGTTAGTCCATAAAACCCAGAGACTTTAGGTACAATTTTTTATGTGTTAGACAAAGATACTGATAGAGAAGAATAATGCTGGACTTCAGCTTTACTATCACTTTATATCTAATATCTCAGCAAAAACAGAAGAAGCTCTATTCTAAGAGCCATGCAATGACATTAAGGAAGAAGAAAAATGTCCTTTGAGGGAAGATACTGGAGAATGAATGTATTATGTATATTCCAGGCTTTCAAACAATCAGGAATAGATGTAAACATTTTATTATTTTTATTATTTGCTATAAAAGAATATAATCCACTGTAGGGATTAATAATGAAGTATCTATTCCAGTCATCTGAGAGGTGAAAAAAATTAAGAGAAAATCCACAATGCCAAATCAAATTTACCTTATAAAATTTAAATTTAAATGAGTCTTGCTGGAATGAAAACCCAAGAATGAGGTATGTTGATGACTTAATTACCTGCCACCTGCACTGGATGCTCTGTTGTTTGTGGACTTTTTATTCTTCATATTTTTATCTTCGATCACCTTCTGTTAAATAGAAGATTTAATCATTTTAATAATCCATAGATGGATTATTCACCAGAACAATCACGGTTAGGATTAGAGATGAAACTGTTAGTAAAGCAATATTTTTTATGCATCTAGCATGTGTCAAGCACAGAAGGTATTGGGTACAAAGCTGTGAATGAAAGGCCTTCAGGGATACTAACTTTCAGAGAAGAGTGACTGGCCATAATCATAAACAAATGTGACTCACGAAGGAGGTGAAAGTGGGACAACAACACAGTGACTAGAAAGGGGCTGAGAGGCTGCTGTAAGGCTGATCAGAAACTGATGAGGAAAGGGCTCACGTGATGATCTGTGGGATGAAAGGAGAAGTGCTTAGAGCCCCAGAGTGATTTTTGAAAAACACAAGAAGTCAGTGGTACTGAAGCCTGGGGAATGGTGGGGGGAGTGGAAGAACACGTGGTCAGAGAAGACTCACGTGAAATCATTAGGTGGTGGTGAGGAGTTTGGGTTTAATTCTCATGATGAGGATCCAACAAAGATACTTTAACAAGGGGGTGATTAGACTCAAACCTAAGAAAGTTCACTTAGTAGAGACTGAGAATAAAGCCAAGAGTCTAGCCAAAAAAAAAATGTTATAATCTTACTTGTTACTTATTCTAATAAGCATGTAAGTTGCTTATTCTAATTTATAATTGCTTCTATTAGGCATTCCAAGGGCTCCACCTATAAGATGTACACTATTTAATTTTTTTTTTTTTTTTTTAGTTTTTGATACTAGGGATTCAACCCAGAGGTATTTTACCACTGGGTCACATCCATTGCCCTTTTTATTTTGAGATAGGTTCTTACTAAGTTGCTTAAGACCTTGCTAAATCACTGAGGCTGGCCTCAAACTTGCAGTTCTCTAGCCTCAGCCTGTCTAGTAGCTGGGTTTACAAGTGTACCCCCATTGCACCTGGCTAAGACTATCTCTTTTGGTTTTTGGTATGAGGTATTGAACCCAGGGGTGCTTAACCACCAAGCCATGTCTCCAGCTCTTTTTTTTAATATTTTATTAGAGAGAGGGAGACAGGATCTCACTGAGTTGCTCAGGAACTCACTAAATTGCTGAGGCTGGGTTTGAACTAGTAATCCTCCTGCCTCAGCCTACTGAGTCACTGGGATTATACAAGTATGCCACTGTGCCCAGCTAAGACTATCCTTTCTTTTAAGAAAAAAAACAATTTCTATTTACACAGATGGGTGGGTGGGTGCTAGCAGTAAAATAAGAACATGGATATGAATACATTTCTAACTCGCAGTAGTTTTTTTCTAGGGAAGGCAGCTAAGGATAATATACTTGGAACGTGACTTAAGATCCTTTCCCATACATTTAATTTTAAAAAACCCTATATATTATGAAAGTCCTGTTCAGTCACTAGTGTTCTGCCAGAACTACTTTCCTCCCCTGGTAACGTAAGCATTGCTGCTAGCAAACTGCAGTAATAAGAGATAAACACTAAACTCAGGAGAAATAAAGAGTAAAAATGCTATACTATTCATTTTAAAAGTATAGTACTTTGGTACAATTAATTGTAGGAACAAGTAATTCTGAGTGCCATAAATCTGTTTCTCAAGATTTTAATAATAATGTTCCTCATGATAATCTATTAAGCATTTCTTGATTTTCAGGAAAATAGTTAAAATGTTTTCAAATGATATTTAAAAAAGCTTTCACTATCTCAAAAATCTCAAAAATTGTTCCAGACAGCTACATTTTTTATAATGGGAAGACTTATAGAAACATATACAGTTATAGGTATTTTTGAGATACTATAAAGTACATTAGGAGCATACCACTGGTGATTTTTAACGGAACACTGGGTTTCATTATACTAACTGAAAATCTTTCTTGAAGATAAAGTTCTACTGAATTAAGTGGGAAGCATTTGGCAACATCATGTTGCTATCAAAAGATGAGTTTCCCACAAGTAATACAGAAGTATAGAACACAACACAGAAGACACAACACTTTCAAGCCCCTTTTCAAGTTTCAAGCTGTAGTACAAAAGAGATAAGTTTGTAGAAATACCTTTGCAGATTCTGTTGCGTTGGTATGAGACTGAAATAGCAAGGGATCCATTGTCGAGTCACCATCTGTCACCAGTTCAGCCTTTTCCTTTTCCTCTTCAAGGCTGTCAGCAGGCACTTGAATTTCCTGGGGTTTCTCAAGTTCAGCAGTGACACAGTTTATCATATCTGAATTTTCTTCATTTTCATTTAATTTCAAGGAATTATGGTTTTCAGGAAATTCTCCATTCTGATCTATTTTGAGAAGGAATAACAGCACTAAAACCTTCTCCTCAATTAAAAGTAGATAAGCAGATGCTATACATTCCTTTAAATGAAGATTGTATATAACCTCTTTTTCCTTTTTTTTATTTTTTAATTTTGTGGTGCAGGGGATTGAACTCAGGCCTGAAGCATGCTAGGCAGGTGCTCTACCATTGAGCCACATCCCCAGTCCTATGTACTCTTTTTTCTTGCAACATAAAATATGAAAAAAATGATCATAATGATACTTTCCCCCAAAGTGTTCTACGAAAGAAAAATGGCTACTCTTCATCTAATGAAACACTTAACAAAACTAAATACTCTGCATAAACAGCATAGTCATAATTATAATGGAATCACTACCCCAAACCAACACACATCACAAGAACTAGTTGATATATAAACCAAGTAACTGAGATGGCAACATCTGTTCAGTTCTAAAGCCTGTGTGCTCTTGGCTGGAACAACAAACTGTGAAAACAGGAGGCACATATCTGCATGCCACTGCAGTTACTAGCATCACAGATGAGCTGTATACATGCAGAGAGAACCAAGAGTGAATGTAATTTTATGCAGAGAATAAAGCCAGTCCAGTTAGGTTCAGGCCCACCAGGATGTGGTGCTGCAGTGCGCCGTCCCATACCCAAGGGCACCAAAGGCAGATCTATTTCTTATCCCCTCAGTACTCCCAGGGACAGGTTCAGGGGGATGTCAGGAGGGGACTTGGTTGTTCTTTTATAGAATTGTGTCTTTTATTCAGATTCTACCACATTTCAGGATGCTTGACAGAAAGAAATCAGTGTTCTCTGTAGGGATCAACAACTTTCATTTCTACCAGGCCCAAACTGTATTTTCATCATTAAAAGTCTTAATTCTAGGGCTTTCATTATGGCCTTTTTTCCCCTTTGAACTTATTTAGAGGTAAATGGGTTTTAAAATCCCATTATAATTACAGTCATATATTCACATGAAAAGCGCATATGATTCAATTCATTACTGGGTTCTTTGGAGAAACAAACAAGAACTTTGGAGTCAAAGATTCCACCTCTGGCTCCAGCACTGACCTTGGCTATGTTTCCCAATGTCTGCACCTCAGTTTCTCTCCTCTGTAAAATGACAAAAATTATACTACATAGTAAGCACCTAATAAATGTTAGTTATGCCTCCCAGTCCTAGAAACAGCTGTGACTTTTAGCTCTCATTAAGCCCTAAGAAAACAAACCACATTCACAATTTACACCTCACATTTACTACGTGCTTACTATGGTACTGTTCAAGGTTTTACATGTATTATTATTATTATTACTTACACTTCACAACCACCCTATAAGGTAGATATTATTATTATCCACACTTTAAAAAAACATTATACAAAGTCAGAGAGGCTTGTTACTTTGCTCATGTAGAAGTGCTAGATTCAAACCAAGGTTAAACCTCGGAAGTCCACCTAGCCATTATGTACACTATATAGATCATTGCAGCAATGTGCATAGTATAATAATTCACTTTAAGTGATCGTTCCATTTGTGCCTAGAAGTAGCCAGTGCCAGTGGCTAAATTGTACTCTATCATTTAATTTTCACAATAGTCTTTTTTTAAATATCTTTAATTAATTATTATTATTTTTTAAATGTGGTGCTGAGGCTTGAACCCAGCACCTCGCCTGTGCTAGAGGGGCGCTCTACCACTGAGCCACAACCCCAGCCCCACAATAGTCTTTTGAGACAGGCAAGATTTAGGGAAACTGAGGCAGAGTGATTACTTCTGCACTTAAAGTCACACAGTCAACTATGCAGTCAGGATTGAAAAACCAGGGAAACACAAATATATATTTCCCCTGTAACCGTGAAAAGTATTATTTTTCTTACAGTGTCCTAAACAACACAGAGTTCATAAATAATACACATTAGTTAGAATGTAATTACCTTCTATAGATGCTTTTCCCTCAGGTGCCAGTGAAAAAGAATTTCCAAGACTTTCTTTAAGAGCTGATGATGATAAACTTGATAACAATGGATCCTGTTTAATAAAAAATGCATTTAACGAGTATTTATGGACATCATAGCATTATTAAAACCATCTTATAACTTTGGAATCTGCATTATTAGAAGTTTGCTGCTGAAACCTCAAAAAGCATTAAGCCTTCATAGTGGGACATGGAGCGGGAGCATGGGAGGAATAGACGAACTCTAGGTAGGGCAGAGGGGTTGGAGGGGAAGGGAGAGGGCATGAGGTTATTAATGATGGTAGAATGTGATGATCATTACTATCCAAAGTACATGTATGAAGACACAAATTGGTGTGAATATACTATGTGTACAACCAGAGATATGAAAAATTGTGCTCTACATATGTAATAAGAATTATAATGCATTCTGCTGTCATATATAAATTTAAAAATTACATAAAAAATCATAAGCCACTAGAGGTAAAAATGCTTCCCTTGGTGTTTGGGTCAGTAAAAGGGGTCACTAAAAGAGTCATTCTAGCTCTGTATCAAAATGTTATGTCTAAATTTATTTTTAGCAATTTTTAAAACTCCTGCTCTTCTAAAATCAAATCTATTATGTATTTTTAAGGTAAAGATTTGATCCTGATGTCTCTTTCTCCAATTTTCTTTTTCAAGGACAGTATCAAGACAGAAGAAAAATCTTTAGTTTCTTCTTCTTCATTTTTTTTTTGGCGGGGGGGGGGGGTACTTGAGATTGAACCCATGGGCCTCAACCACTGAGCCTTTTTGCTGTTGTTGTTTAGGCCCTTGCTAAGTTGCTAGGCTGGCTTTGAACTCATGATCCTCCTGTCTCAGTCTCCCAGGCTGCTAGGATTACAGATGTGTGCCATCGTGCCTGATAAATTTTAGTTTCAAACAATTATTACTAGTAGTCCAAATGAAAGCAACCTATAAAACCAAGTAGACAGCTACTTCCAAATATTACAGGTGAAAAATGTACATAAATTTCAAGCACATGAACTTTACTCAAAATCTGAAAAGAAATCATTGTATTGTGTCCAAAAAACCCCCATTCTCTACAGAATAAACTAGCCTAAAGGTGATGATATTATAATGTAAGAATTTTATTTTTGTTGCATAAATAGCAATATTCTTTCCTTCAATATTTTATGAACACATAGGAAATTATATATCAAAAGCAATGAGAAGGAAACATTTGGGAAAATGTCAGAAGGGCTGAGACACTGGAGTCTACCTTGAAAGACAAAGTTACACTTGAAGAGATTTGCACATTTGTAGCTTTAGGATTTATGGTATATCTCAAGCTGTAGAGTTCAAGTGGTAGAAGGCTACAGACTTAGTAGACTGGCTTGAGAGCCCAGAAGAGTCAATACATTTGAGGAAGAAGTAGCCTTGGAATATGCAGAATTCTTCTAAAACCTTTGGCTCATCTGTACATGGCATAAAGAAGACCTCAGAAGATCTTACGAAACCACAGAAGCTAGAAACTGGAAGAACTGAGCAGGAATTCCTACTGATATCTACTGCAAGGGAGCAAGAAGTGAAAACTTGTATCTAGACACAATATCTACTTACCAGAATATATGCTCACAGGCACACAATGCACTCTAGAATCTCTACAACACATCATTCATAATATCCTGTATTTTATTAAAAGTCACTAAGCAGATGAAGAAACAAAGACAACAACATAGACTCATGAAGGCAAAAAAAGAAAAGAAAAAAAGACAAAGAAAAAAACAGTAGTAAAAAGAAACCAATCTTGAGATAACCTGGTTGTTGAAATTATCAAAGACTTTAAAGTAGTTATTATAAGATTGTTCAAGCACTTTAAGGAAAATGTATGCATGACACTGAACAGATGGGGATCACAGAGATGTAGAAAATACAAAAATACCAATGAAAACTCTAGAGTTAAACTCTGTAATAACTGAAATAAAAATTAACTGGAGAGACTTAATAGCAGATCAGAGATGGAAGAATAGATCAGTGAACTTGGTGAAATGTAAACAAGTGGAAAAAAAGATTAAAGAAACAGAAAAAAGATTAAAGACACATAGAATTTCTGAGATCAGGGAGATTCATCAAAAAATTTCAACGTATGCATATACAATTGTAGCCCCAAAAGGAAAGAAAAGGAAAATAATGTAGCAAAATTTTAAAAAGAAGGAAAAACAAAACAAAAAACAACTTCCCATCATGGCAGGTATTAACTTGTAGGTCCTAAAAGCTCAACTAACTCCACCCAGAAAATATAAAGAAACCAGACTTACGTGCTTATTTATAATCAAACTGTTGTAATTAAAAAAAAAAAGACAAATCTTGAAAGAAAATAATACTGAAAACAGGCAGAAAATTATACTGAAAACAGGTAGAAACTCCTATATTTTGTATAGGAGTATAATAAAATGAGTGACTGCTGATTTCTCAACAGATACAGGAAGGGCCAGGAACAATAGAAACTGCTAAAGAGGTAGGGGTCAAAGAAAGGAACTATCAGTCAAAATGTTCTACTAATTCATCCTTCAAAAATAAAGATAAAATAAGCACTTTCAAGGTAGGCACAGGCTGAGAAAACCTATCACTGACCAATCTGCCCTTTAAGGAAAAAAAAAAAAAAACATTAAATGGAAATAACATGAAGTGATAATCTGGATATATAGGAAGGAAGAGCCTCAGAATCACTATATAAAAGAAAATTATAAATATTCATTCTTTTCTTCTTTTAATTCTTTGAAAATCTAAGACACAAAGTTTAAAAGCCTCATTAGTGAAAATTATAACATGACATTGTGGGAATAGTGTCATGTAGACGTAGTATCCATGCCAAAAGCAGCACAATGGACCAGGCACTACAAGGAACTGAACTGTTGCGAGGCTTCTGTATGGAATGTGAAATACAGAATCAACTCCATAGTGCAAACAGGGACAGTTTAAAGTTCAACAGAGCTGACCATATGCTCCTGTGATCCCAGTGACTCAGGAACTGAAGTTCAAGACCAGCCTCAGCAATTTAGTGAGGCCCTGTCGAAAATACAAAAGGGCCAGGAATATATCATGGTGGGTTAAATAAATATATAAATAAATAAATGGAAAATAAAAACACAAATAAATGGCAGAAGGGAGTAACAGACGAATAATATAACAAAGCAAAGAGAAAAAAAAAACAGTAATAAACTGGTCTTAAATCCAACTGCATCAGTGTTTATGGTAAATGGAGAAAACACTCATAAATTGACACAACACCAGAATTAAAATGCATAGATTCTCAGATTTGATTTAAAAAAAATGTGACTCAAACTGTTATTATAAGACATTCACTTAAAGTAATCAGTAAGGATAGAGAAGATCTGAGTGATACTACCAACCACCTTAACCAAACTGAAATTCTAAAACTTTATATCCTATACCTGAGAAACAAGTGTACTTTGCTAATACAAATGGAACTTAACACAGGATACACTTAGGCTGGGCCATTACCAACTCTTAACAATCTGAAATCATATAAGATATATTCTTTGGACCACAATAAATCTAGAGAAGACCCAAATATTTGGGAAAAATGATGATTCATCACAAAATAACCAATAGGTTAAAGAAAATCATGATGGAAAGAAAGGACAATGAAAAAGTAAGATGTTCAGCAGTATAGAAAAAAAAATGTATAGCTTTCAGTGGTTTTCAACAGAGGACTCAAGACTTAAAAATCAAGGAGAAAACTTTCAAACTTAAACAAATCAGCCTGTGCTTAAACAAATTAAACAAATTGAAGAAAATAAAGAGAAGAAATAAAAATTGACAATTAGCCCAACTGAAAACAAACTATAGAGAAAATTAACAAAGCCAAAATTGGTTCTTTGAAAAGTTTCATAAAGCTAAACAATGCCTACCAACATTGAAAAAGAAAGATAAAAATCATAAATTAAATATGTCAGAAATAAAAGATGAAATGATATGATGACCCCTGATCCTAAAAATGATAGGGGACTATCAAGAAAAAGCATGTTTATAGATTTGACATGTCAGGTGAAATAGACAAATTTATTTTTTAAAAAAATTATCAAACTGATGAAAAATCTCAATACCAATATATCTATAAAAAATAAAATTTAATGCAAAGAAATTTCTATGCCCAGATCATTTAACTGGTGAATCTTTTTCCTCAAGGATTCTTACCAAATTTAGAAAATAAAGGGTGAATAGTTATTGCCTAACTCATCTGACACATAAGTCTGATAATAACCTTATAAGAAAAAATATATAGATCAACAGACTTCATAAATATTTATGTAAAAACCTTAATAAAATGTTAACAAATTAAATCCCATAATAAAATACTGTGCATTGATCAACAGAGTTGATTCTAGGATGCGAGGTCATTTTAAAAAATGATCCTCAATCATTCCCACGCAAACACACAGAGAAAAGGTAGGAGGTAAGGATGTAGTGAGGAAGCCTGTACAGCTCACCCTTGGAGTATCTGATTGTGACATCTGCAGGATTATGCTATAGCTGGGATCTTCAACGTTCCTCAAAGGCCCATATGTTAAGATTCTGGTTCACAGCCCATGTACTATGGGGAGGTGGTGGAAGCGTTTGGAGGTAGTCTCGCAGGAGAAAGCTGGATCATTCATGGTGTATGCTTAAAGGGGATACTGGGACCCTGGCCCTTCCACTTTCTCTCTATTTCCCAGATGCCATGAGGTGAACAGATCTCTACAATGCACTTCCACCACGATGCGCTTCATTGCCACAAGCCCAAAGCAACCCCACCAAGAAACCAAGGACTAAATTCCCCAAACTCTTGAATCTTCCCTCCTTTTAAGTTGATTATCTCAGGTATTTTGTTACCTACTGTAAGGCAGAAGGAAGGGTGCAGTTTCAATTGAGTGTTTATACAAAGATAAAGAAGTTAGAGCATGACTCAATGTAGATGGAATAGATCATGAGGAGCCAGAAGTTGTTATTCATAGGGGAAAAAAAGAAAAATTAGTATGGGAAATCTCTGAGAGAGTGGGCATACAACAGTCAGGAAGACTTTCATATTGCAAAATACGAAACATTTAAAGTGTTAAATATAGAAGTATCTAGCAATAAGATAACAGTTGTAAATTATGGCTATGTTACAGACATTAAGGTGCATGTGGTCTTAAAATCCCCAGCAACATGGAAACGCTTCATAACCTAATGCTAAGAGACATAGAAAAAGCACAACACAAAACATGATGCAGACTAAGATGACACATTAGTGACAAAAATGTGGGAGAATAGCTTTAAAGGGGGTAAGAATAGTAAACTTCATTGCTATTATGTGGTGGGATTATAGTTGGATATTTTCTGCTAATTTTTTTTTCTCACAGTATAATGTAACTTTAATAATTTTAGCAATCTTTTTATTAATCAAAAAGAGACATAAAAATGTTTAAAAATATCACTTAAAGTTAGGTATGTATCTGTTTAAATGATGTGCCCCCAAAATACAGGTCATCCAGAAGTCCTTAAGAGGAAATAAGGTACTTGCATGTAGTTAGGATGAGCCATTGAATTAGATCCCCAATGTCTGATGGTATCTTTTTTAGGAAAATAGGGAGAAACAGAGGCACAAAGGAAACAGGGAGGTCATGTGGTGATGCAGGCAATGATCAGAGTGATAAAGCTGTAAATTAGGAAATGCCAAGGATTTCTGGAAAATTTTAGGATTTCCTAAAGCCATTTGAAGGGACAGGGTCTTGCTGATTTGGGTCTTGATTTAGGACTTTTGGCTTTCAGAACTAAGGGAGTAAATTTATGTTGTTTTAAATCTTTCAGCTTGTGGCCATTTGTTATATGGTCATAAGAAATGAATACAATTTTCAATTGATCAGATAATTAAATACAAAATACTTATTTGGATTTCTTCTCTTGATTTTTTAGGACAAATTAAGAAACAGCACAGAAATGCTGAGCAAAATTTGAATCAGCATCCTGATTTGATTCCTCTTGCACCACTCCCAGAGAGTGCATCCTTACACACTTAGATGGCAGGTAAGTGATAAGAAAAAGAGGTAAGATTGATCAGGTAATGTCTAGTTCTTTTTCCCTGATCTGTCCACACACAGATTATGGAGGACGAATGTTTTTCCCATACTTTCTCCTTCAAAATGTAAGGAAGAAGTTCACTTATTATAGTGAAATATAAAAGGAAGGGACAAATGTTCTCCCTTAATAATGCTGCATAGCAGACTTCCTCCTGGAAACTCAAAGAGTCATATCTGAACTTCACTTTGGCATATCCCAAAGAATATAAAGCAGTGTCATGAACATTCAGTACTTTGTTGTATGAATAAAACCAAATGCATAAAATGACACTAATATTGTCCTTAGCCATAAATTGTATAATTCAATATGTATATGTATATATATATCAGTATTATTATTAGAGATATACAGTATTATATACACTATTATGTAGACTCATTAGATCAAAATTATTTTAACACATTACTTTCTCTGAAATGGGTAGAATCTTAAAAAAACAAATTATGGCTTAATTGGAAGCATCTCGCTCCTTCTTAGTGGTATTTAAAATAATGGTATGTCTTATAATTGATGGAGTTTTGGACTCAGTGAAATATAGCCTATTTAAAAAAAAGCTTAAAATTATTTTCTTATCAATTGTAGAAGCAAACATGTAAGACCCATACATACACATAAATGCATGCACACAATTCATTCTCTTTCTATTTTTCTAGTAATCAGAGGCAAATGCCTGAATTCAAGAAATAATTCAACAGCTCAGCAGTAGTGCCAACCTCAAGATCAAGGTTTTCAGAGAATGTTTTTTCCTCAGCTTCTAATTGTCTGCCATCCAGACTTGGAAGGGAAGGTGCAGAATTGAAGTCTTCACTGAGAGCAGTTTCTTTATCTTCTCCTAGTCTTTCTTTCTCCTCCACGTGCCTACTCTTTCTTAACAAGCTCCTTGGCAGAGGTAAAGGCTTAAAATGGTCATCTGTTTCAAGGCTGCTGCTATTTTCTGCTAAAAAATAAAATGTTTTAAGATGATTGGGGGAAAAAAAAAAACACACAACAAAAAACACTTTGGCTTTGACCACTGCCCCAGAGACACCAAACTTCCCTCCAGTGCCATGTCCTAGAAAGTCCAGATGAAGACCACACCCTTCTCCATAAGCCCCAATAAGATCCAGATAAGGAATAATTCATGGCCCCCAATTTTTAACAATGTTGCCATCAGTATACTTTAAAGTATATTGAAAGTAATCAGTATACTTTAGTTTTATGAGAAGTTAACTCTTCAACTTTATGAACTCTCATAATATTCAAAACATTTGAAAAAACATAAAACCTTGCCTCAATAAAATGAGGAGGTTCATGCATCAAATCTTAAAGTACCTGAAGCCAAGCTATGTACACACTATTGATCCTCATAATATAACAATGACAATGGCCCTGTCCAAGGACTTAACAGGTTGGGAAGGGAGATCATTTATAGCAATCATAGGAGATCATTTATAGTTTGTTTGTTTGTTTGTTTTAACTGGGCATTGAACCTAAGGACACTCTACCACTGAGTAAATCTCCAGTTCTTTATTTTTTATTTTGATTTTAAGGCTGGGTCTTACTAAGCTATTGAGCCTGACCTTGAACTTGGGATCCTTCTGCCTTTGCCTCCTGAGTAGCTGGGATTGTTGGTCTTCTTAGACAAACACAAGGACAAGACAAAGGTAAGTGCTGTTACAAGCATGAAAATGATGACACTGGCACACAAGGGATAGAAGTCTTACCCTCTCACTGGAGGAATGAATGAAAAAACACGACTAGTGAGTTACCATTCTTTGAGTCCATTAAAATTGTATAGTTAGGGCTGGGATTTAGCTTGGTGATAGAGCACACAACTGAGCATGCAGGAGGCCTCAGGTTCTATCCCCAGCACCACAAAGACAAACAAATGAAAAAAATAAATGAATGAAATTTCTCAGTTGCTTTTCCCAAGTTGAAGTTTAAAATAAGAACCAGTATGCTGGTATGCTTCTAGCCCTCAAAACACTGATTTTTCTTCATTTATATACTTTTTGCCTAAATTTTACCTATTACACATACTTCTTCACTAGTCTACCAATGTATTCTTCTAAAACTTTACAACTAGGCTAATTAATACATACATCTTCTTTACCTACCAAAGGGCTTATGAATGTTGTTAGAGGATTCCACAATCTTGTCAAACTGGTACCACTATAAATGCTTCCTTGCCAATTTTAGTTATATCTAAAACTCTGGTCAAATGTTCAACCTCAAGTCAAAGAATCTTCCTAGATTCCTCCCTCCATTTTGCCTGCAACCAAAGAATCACTACAGCCATTGATTCTACTTGATAAATATCTCTCTCCTTTATTTTATGCTCTTCATCCCTAAGTTAGCTCCTCATCTCCTCTTTCTAGACAGTGCCTCAGGGATATCTATAAAATGTCAGACCCCATCACTCCCTTCACAAAATTCTACAAGGGCTCCCCATTATCTAATCCTATAGAATAAAAACTCAATAACCTTTGATTAAAATGAAAGGCTTTCCTGGTGTGTCCCTGAGTGCCTTGCTGCCCTGTCTGCTGGCACACCCATTTTCTAATTTGTGTTCCTGGGATAGTGAACTAACACACAGGTTATACAACTTTCCTGTCACCAAATCTTTTCCTAAGCTGATTCATCTGCCTAAAACATCCACTTCGTGTTTCTCCTCCTAAAAACACTTGTTATCTTTTGAACCTCAGATTAAATAGAATATTGGACAATGCCTAAAAGAAGGTACTAGGTCAACATTTTATTTTATTGTGGTAAGAACAGTTATCATGAGATCTACCCTCTTAAACATTTTTAAGCATGTAATACAGTACTAGCTATAGCTTTAGGCACAATGTTGAACTCAGATCTCTAGAACTTACTCATCTGGTATAACTGAAACTGTTGAATAGCAATTCCCCATTCCCTGCTCCTCCAAGACCCTGGCAACCACCAATCTACTCTGTTTCTATAAGTTTGACTAGTTTAAATACCTCCTATTTGAGTTGTGGCTCTGACACTTATTATATATCCTTATATAAATTATTTGACCTCTATCTACATTGAAGTTTTCCCACTATTCAAATCAGTTAAAATTTTCTAAGTGCTTATAGGTTCTTGGCAAGAGAATATATAGTATGTAACACAGTGCCAGACATATCACAAGTGCTCAGTGACATTAACAATGGTGGTTAACACTTCTTAGCCTTTTTTTTCTTTTCTTTTGGTTTGTGAATCACTCCTGTGTTCTTTGGAACAGTTTCTCCCTGAATCCATCTGTGTGATATTGGTGGATTAACACATATCTCCACCATAGTCAGTGAAAAGTAGGGATCCATGATTTGCCCTACCACCACCATTACTAACTTATTATTATTATTTTTGTTCTATGCTTCCTACTAAATTGTAGTCTTAGATGATTGATACTAAGCCTTTTCAATGTTGCATTCTTATTTACCATCACAATGCTTTTAGTATGATGAGACATAATATATTCACTGTATATGCATGAATAAGTAAAATAATTTGCTTATAGATAGATGCTAAATAATAATAGAATGTTTAATTTATTCCAATACTGTTGTAAGCACTTCAAGTCTAAGAAGTTATAGAAGAGTAAGGCTAAGCTCATAAAGCACAGTCCTTCTTTCATGAATGAATCATTCATATATTCATTTAGGTCCTTAAAGAATTCTATACAGCACACTTTTCTTAACACTAAATAAATTTTCAAATTTATTCTTGAACATAAAAAACCTGAAAATAATGACTTTTTAATATATCTTATACTAAAATTCCTCTTCCAGAAGTACTAAAAATTTCTAAGATAGAAAAAAGTCTATAGATTTCCAAATGCTTTCTAACATTTATAATCAAATATCTAAGTTCTCTACTTAAGCTACTATTTTTGTGTTACATATACTGAACATAATATTGCAGATGCCTAAGTAGAGCATTTGCAGTCATGCTGCCACCTTGAGGCTAAAATACATATGTCTTTGTTCATCTTAACTCACTGCAGCTTTTTAACATGATAGGTAAATTTTTATTTTGCTAGTTATCTACCATTCATTTCTAATTCTATTCTTCCACGTGTTTCAGAACATTTTGTTTTTGATGCTAAATGCTCATATTTTTTAAATAACCAAGGTCAAGTATGTTCCCTTTCTCCATTGTCAGTTTCACTCATTACCCTGGGAAAATATGTCAGTAAGTTAATGGTTTCATTATGCTTTGTGTTTACACTTTTGTAGTGTATTACAGTCTATGAGAGTCATTCATTAGATTCTCAAAACAATTTTGTAGGACAGGAAGAGCAGGTTTTCTCCTCCTCCCTATGAGGACAGTGAGACTTAACCTATTTGCTGAAGTCAGATATAACTAATTTATGATGGCTTGTTTTTCAGTGTCTTAGACATTATTCAAGGGTTTTTTTTTTTGTTTTGTTTTTGTTTTTTGCATCTTTCCTTCTTTTCTGTGTGCTGGGCAAAAGGAAGTAGTTCCCTAATGCATGCCTGAAATAAAGTTTGTCTGATATTATCAGTAATATCTAACATGAAAAGTATGAAATGTTCACCAGTACTGTATTTACTGATGAGATTTTTACTAAGGCTAGAATCAACTAAAATTTTCTTTATAAAATGAAAGGAACAAGACTGAAAGATATCAAACTCTTAACCTTGCATCCATAAATTTTTGTGCATCTTCCAAAGGACTTCAAGGGGCGGGTTCCAGCTTTGTTCCACCTTTGATCCACTGTGCTTGGAGTTCAGTAGAATACTTGGGAGAACTCTTGTATTCCCAGATCACACCAAGAATTTCCTTTCAGAAAACTGAATTTTAGTAAATTTTCCAATGCTATCGAAAGATCAAATGGAGATTCTATTTTCTTAAGGAGTGTCTGGAAACTTTGATAAACAAATAGCAGTGACACTTAAAATATATCAATGCCAAAAAACTGTTCTGGCAAAATATTGGTTTAGAAATGATTGTTTTGTGGTGATGGAGATTGAAACAAGGGCTATGTACATGTTAGGTAAGTACTCTATCACTGAGTTATGACGACTCAGCTCTGGAAATGACAGTTTTAATATTTAGAGTATAGAGTGAATAAGGAAGCATTCCATTGTGTTTCCATCCCTAAGAACAAAATTTAAGCTTATGGGCATATGTGTTTTGGGAGCTGCAGCTACATATAACTATAGGTGCTTTGGCTTTTTATTAGGCACCAGAAGAAATTGAAGACAGAATATACAACTGGATATCAGAATTATGAGTTTTCTCTGTGGTTCAGTTGTCTTATTTGTACAAAACTGTAAATTAAATATGACTTATCTTTTTAACTATATACTACCTACCATATAAAGATATTTTGAAATTATTGTCTTAAAATAAATTTTCAAGAAATACAATTGTAGTATCTAACAACCTACCTGAAGATGTGCTTTTGAGCGAAAAAATTCTGGGTTTAGGTTTTAGTTTAATTCTCTCTTTTTCAACTTCTTGATCTTTATCCTGAGATTCTGATGAGGAATTTACCACCATGTCTTCATAACCATCAGGTGCCACATCTTCGTTGTTTTTGACAGAAAATTCTGGCCCATCTTTGGTTATGTCACTGTTTGATTTCTTGGTTTTCAAAAAAGATAGTTTTGGAGAATTATTTTCTTCATCATCTGATACATGAAAATCATTCATTTTTTTCTTAATAGAATTTTCATCTATGGAGGTATCAGAAAAATCACCCAATGAAACTGAAAACAGACAAGAAAAAATGTTTTCAATAGTATATTCTAAATCTCTTAAGGTCATATTAATTTTTTTTTAAAAGAAAGATTACCTTAAAGTCTAGAAAGGGTTTGAAGTAAATTTATAACCATGTTTAAGTGCAAATTTATTTTGCAGCTCTTAAAAACAGCTAATCTAGTCTGTCCTGAATTTGAATTTATGTAATAACATTTTCAATTTCATTAATTTATTTAAAGTATTTATTGAGTGCTCACAGGGTGCCAAGTACTGCACTTACTCTGGGAAATGCCATCCAAAGATTCCAAAAAATAACAATCAGCCTTGGGACATTCAGATTCCATTTTGGAGAGTAAAATCTTCATTTGTGAATCATTTCATCATAAAAAATCAAGAATATTTGTAAGCAAAAGAGTTTAACTAGATTGTTTTCCACATAAATGTTGTAAATGCAATTGCATCCGTACCAAAAATATTAGATTTTACTAAAACAAAGATAATAAAGAATGCTAACTTAAAAATAGTGCAGTGATTTACTATTTTTACAGAGAACATTGAGTTATTGACTGAATATGTATCAAAGAGTAGAACACTGAATTTCAAGTTCAGAATTCTATATGGGGTACAGAGTTAATATTTGAATGAAGCCTAAAGTACTAATATTTTTACCTAATTAAAATACAGCAAATTAAATCAAAATGGTATTGATATATACAATGTGAATATATTGTCTGTCGTTTTTAAAAGGACACCTTATTATAGTCCAAAGACCTGATAAGACCTTATAACTAGCATTATAAAAGTGCTTCTGAGGTACACTAAAATTTAGCTTTCTGGACCCCAGTTACCAACTAGCTATTGTGCCTCCCAGTGTTAACTTTAAGGAAGAACTTGTCCTCTTCCACGTAGTTTACCCCTAGTCATCATTTTATTGGTGTCAGTTAATTTACATATTCAAAAACACATTCACAAACAATCAAGGACAATCAAAAAACTTCTTGAAAATTAAGACTGGCTCTCTAACCCATTAAAAGTTGGAAATCTAAAACTAATGAAGTCAATGGCATTATTTTAACATAAGTCTTTTTTTTTTTAGGAGAAGGGGAGTAGGTCAAATGTAATGAAGCAAGAAACAGAATAATATTTTACTTTTCCATCCTCTCACATACCAATCTCATCGCTCTCAAAGTCATCTGAGTATTCAGAACTCCTCTGTCTGGCCGAGCGAGCTGTAATCGCTCTTATTAGCTCATCCTGAAATGAGATAATTAAAATCAATTCCAATTCAAATAGGATGGAATATAATATCTAGAATTAATTTGTAAACAAATAATAATTCTTTCAAACAAGTTGCATTTATTTAGCGTACATTAACTCCAAGCCTACATTGTACCATGCACCCAATTGAGTGAGGAGACTCAATGCAAATCACCATCACCAAGGGCACACCCTCATGGTGCCTGCTGTTAAACTGGAGGAGACCACAATATCAAACAAATTAATTGCAGATTATAATTTGAGCTAAATAGTAATAGGTAAGAGGGGACTCAATTTATATAGGATTTGTTACAAACTGCCATTTTGGAAGAAAGTGGTACTTTTTTTTGGTTTTGTTTTGGGAGGTTTGTTGAGTTTTTCTTGTTTATTTGTTTTTGTTTTTAGAAAGTATGTGCATGCTAAGCACACACTCTACCACTGACCTATATCCCCAGCCCCAAACTGGTACTTTTTGTAAGCATATTGCAGAAACATATAACCCATACTGAAAATTTAAAGGTTAAGTTCAAAACTGTAATGACCCAGGAGAAAAAACTTCATACTACAATAGAAAAAAAAAAAAAAGATTTTATGTGAAAATAACAATTTAAAGTTGCATTTTAACTTTTAACTTAGTAAGAACCTACAATTAAGGTTATTTTGATGGCCTTAAAGTCACAAAGGAGGATTTGTAATACTGGTGCTCAAACATGATAGATGATCTGCAAAACTTCAAAAAGAACAGAAGACTTACTCCTGCTTTATAAAGGACCATTTCCTATAACCACCAAGGTCCCACATTCATAATACAAAAATCAATACAAAATGCCTTGAAATATTTTACCTGGAAAGTAGTTCTTTTGGTAACTTTTGGACTCTTGGTGTATGCCAAAGTTGTGCTGAAAACTTCGTCAGACATACTTTATCTTTTCTTGTTACCTTTATCAAATAGCTAATAAATAATTGGAGCAATTCATTCAACCTTTGATGGTGGCTGAAAGAGATGAAAACCAAATCAGACTATTGCATGCTTAAAATTTTCTATTACTACATTTAACACAAAAAATAAACTAAACAAGAAGAAAGAAAAAAATAGCCAAGTCAAATTTAAAAAGTATCACATGAACATTGACTACATCTTCACCTACAAATGTGGAGTTCTTGTAAAGCAATAAATTCTCACCACAAATCTCTTTCTAAAAAAAAAGAAAGAAAAGAAAAATGCCAATGGAAGTTATCTTAAACAGTCTTTCATTTTAAGGATGAGCAAATAAATGACTGCTATTGGTTAATAAAAATAAAAGTTGCCAATTAATACATAACATCCTATTTTTCTTCTTTTCCATTCAAAAAAGCAAAGCATTTCTCAAGGAGTCATGCTCTATTAAGTCTACCACGAGGATTGTATACGTTATAAAAACACTAGCCCTATACACAAATTGCTTGCATTATAGCTCTATGCAAAGAAAATAATCATTATGCTTATCCACAAATAGCCAGCGATATTTTTTTCAAGCCACTTTTGTCCCTCACGAAAGTGTTAACAAGGCTGGGAAAAACAAAACGAGGTTTCCGCGATGTTGTATTAACATCGCTGTTGCTCAAGCTCCAAGCTGAAGGCCTAGACCAGGGCCGCAGGATCACCCGCATCAGCGCACGTCCCAGTACCACACTAACTCCCGGCTGGGCCAGGTGCCCTCCAGGTCCCCGCCCGCCGCTGACGTGCCAGGGCCCCCAGCATGAGCCTGGCCTGTGCACACCCCGAGGCTGTCACCGCCGCCATCCGTCGCTCCCCAATGTCCCGCGTTCTGTACCCACCCCCGCCAGTCGCGTGGCGGGCTCCCAGAGACCAGGAGGACCGAGGCACTCGCCTGGAGCAGGAGGTTCTAGCCTCAGTCTGGGCCTGGCAGCGCTCAGAAACCCGGACTAAGCAAGGAGGCGGGGCCAAAGACGTAGGCGGGAGGCAGTTGCTAGGCGACGGCGTCCTCGGGAGGAAGTGACTTCTACAACGCCGGGTCTCTTGGGTACCCAACACCGCCCTTCCGCCTAACACGTCACCGGGGGCAACCGGCTGGACTAAGGAAGTGACATCACCTGTCTAGGTCTTGGGAGAGGGTTCTGCGCGCTACTGTGTTGCCTAGGAGACAGGATTCTCCCGGCTCCAGAGATCCTTCCTTGCTCTTGCCGCTGAGCGAGGGTCTAAATCTCAGATGTGCCTGAGGCAACGTACACACAGAGTTTTGCCGGAATTAGGACATGAAGTTCTGTGAATACGTGTAGGAGTAGAGTGTGACCGGATGTGACAGACTAGCAGAGTAGTGACGTTTGCACACCGCAGTCACCTGCGAATTTTAATACTGGTGACCTTTCCCTACGCAAGTGGATGTTGTGCATATAAGCGACTGTATGCTTCAGTTTCTCCTTAAAAAAGAAAGAAAGAAAGGAAAGAAGAAAAGAAAAAGAGATAATAATGATAGCCATCTTGAAGGGTTGCTGTATTAGAGAGAATAATACAGATGGAATACTTGGAAGAGTGCTTGGAATTGCATTCAGTCGATATTAGATATGATCTTTATGCAACTAAGCCACAAAAGGCCTGGATAGAAGTCAACCCTTGTGCACACACCTGAGAGCCCATTTCAGTTCCTGCTTTAATGTAAAGCTTCCCCTTTGTATACTTAGTGTATAATCTGGTTAAAATCTAATCAGTTGACAAAGTGATTTTATAAGCTGGAGGAGAGGGTGTCACTAAGGGGAAAGTCAACATCATCTAATTAGCATTGGTTATACTTTAAACTAAAGACAACAAAATAAAACCCCAAAACACATATTTAAAATTTCTAAAATAGCATAAATTTCATGCTATTTTTAATTTATTTTTATTTATGCTATATTTTTATTTTTAAAAGAGCTCAGTTTTGTTTAAATTGCCTAATGAATTCATCAACTAGTAGTTAAACTTGGCATTTTTCCTTATCTCTGCAATATATTAACATTTTACTTATTCAAAAATGATTTATAAATAAATCACATTAACAGAGACTTTAAAAATCATTGAAAATGCACATAAAAAAAAGCAAAAAGTTTAGTAAAAAATAATGCTTTTAACAATATTTGTGATCTACCTTTGAAGAAATGTGCAGTGTATGTTGGTCCACTTGTTACTGTTTGGGAAAATCAGTTTGATCAACATTTGCTTAAGTTTGATGTTTTTAAATATTACTGAGTAAATATCTGCATAAAAGAAGGATTTTTCATTTTTACTAGTTAGTGCTAATTTTCTGACCCATGTAAATTATGAACTGACAAATATGATTCCCATATAGTACCTATGCTCACACTGAGAGGACAGCATCCACACTTTCCTTAAAAATGATATATTAATTTGCTCGTATTGAAATAATTATAATTATGTACAAGTATATGCTTTTTCATTTCTTTCTTATTCATTTCACCAATACAGTTTCACTTAGACATGGTTTAAGGAATAAAACTCAAAAATATTAATAAAATTTGGGAAAACATTCATTCTATTTTTCTACGGAACAAACTGGATTTTTATTTTCAACTTAGTAATTAATAGAAGATAATAATTAATAGTTGATTAAAGTTATGCCATAGAAAGCTACAGTAAAGAAAAACAGTTAATCTGAAATGGTTAATTACTCCACAGGATTCAAATCACAATGTCTTTCCACTATTCTCTTATTTTAAAGCTGCAGAACCTTAAGTGCTATGTGAATATTTTCAATCATCTTCAGTATAAGTTAATGGTAACATTATATAATACTTGAATCAATAGTATCATTTTATATAAAGCATAGTTGGGAATATATATAATAATATACTAATATATATTATATGTAGTTGAATATATGTAATTGTTGAATGAATGAATTCATGAATAAATGAATAGCACTTTAAATTAAAAATACTTTTAAAGCATTACAAAAGAAGTTCCCAGATGCTCACTTAAAAATAATTAAAGTACTACAAAACAAAAAATTCTCAGTATTTTATGTAACGTTTTTCTCTATATTTTATGTCTATATATTTTATACATCCTTTAAGTTGAATACCTTTTCCTTTCTTTGCCTTGTCTCCACCCACTTAGTCATTCATTCATTTAGTATACCCACATGAATAACATATTAAGGGTCATATTTTGTGTCCAAAGGTAAAACAGACTAAGTACCTACCTAGGCCAACGGTTATGATCCTGTGGCCGGCAGTGCACATTAGAGGTTAAAAAAAAAAATAGAGACAAAGGATCTTAAACTTATAGCCAGAACTAGCTGAATAATTAAAGCACCTAACTAGAATTTCAAGAAGCGTACTACAAACAGCAAGTCTCCACAAATGTCCATGATAAAGACTGTGCTTAGATTAAGAACTGAACCCCTATGTCAGAAAAGAGAATGAGAGTAAGAGCCCATATACAAGTACACAGATTATTGCTGACATGTGGGAAGAGAACTTCTATAAGAAAGGACTGATAGAAAATATCCAAACCCACATGATCAACTACATTTGGTCAAGAGTATAGTTTCTTCCATTTCCATGCAATTCCCCTTCTCTCTCCCTTTCCTTTCCACCTCTCATCCCTGTTTACACGTGGTAAAAATGGGAGTTCATAACCCACTTGAATCAAATGTATGAAATATGATATGTCAAGAGCATTGTAATGTTTTAAACAACCAATAAAAAAGAAAAAATATATAGTTTCTTACAAGTGAGGAAAAACAGCATCATTACTTTCAAAGAAATATGAAAATTGTCAGAACCAAAATGGAGTCCCTTGTGTCAATCCTAATCTAAACACAAACAAACAAGAAAAGTAAATAAAACCTGGAAGTTTACCTGGATTCTGGAAGTGTTCTTATGCATGATCTTCTGATATTAACTCCAGGAAAGACAGAACCACATCATTGTAGAGGCCACCACAACCTTATGTAAAAAGAATTTCTACAAGCACACCTGCCCCCAAACTGTGTGCTCAACCTCAGAATAAAACCACTTCTGTTATTACTCATTGTGACCAAAGATTATTGTTTCCAAATATCTAATGAAATCTTCTTCATTTTTGTCTTTAAAAATTTCCTTTTTCTTTAACTTCCTTGAATATATGCATCATTTACTATGGCATGCTTATTCCCATTGCAATACTCTTCTATTCTTCCAATGTTCTGCTATTATCAAGTACATTTCATTACTTTTGGGAGAATTCCTCTATGTTTTATTTTGGTTGACACCTCAGTTATAATGGTGTTATGATTTATATATTAGGTGCCCCCAAAAGCTCATGTGTGAGACAATTCAAGAAGGTTTGGAGGAGAAATGATTGGGTTATGAGAACCTTAGCCTAATCTCTGTTAATATCTTGATGGGATTAACTGAGAGTTAACTGTAGGCGGGTAGGGTATGGCCGGAGGAGTTGGGTCCCTAGGGGTAAGCCTTTGGGGGAATTTTTTTTTTTTTATATCTGGAGAGTGGGGCTCTCTCTCTCTCTCTCTCTCTCTCTCTCTCTCTCTCTCTCTCTCTCTCTCTCTCTCTGCTTGCTGATCAACAATATGAGCTGCTTCCCTCTACTACACTCTTCTGCCATGATGTTCTGCCTCACCTTGAGCCCTGGAGAAAGGAACTGGCTGTCAGTGTACTGAAACCTCTGAAACTGTGAGCCCTTAAATAAAAATTTTTCCTCCTCTTCAGTTGTTCTGGTCATGTCTTTTAGTCACAGCATGTAAAAGCTGACTAAAACAAATGGTGTGCATTTTTTGGTTGTTGTGTAGAGATAGTTGAATAATTATGCACCAAGAGAAACATAATTAGTCATTTTAAATCAGAACTTTTATCTTAAGCAAATCATTTTTGTTATGAAGGTAATATCTTCAGTTAGTCTTTTCTACAGATAGTATTTTA